TTTTTTTATATGAAAAATCTGAAAATGCTAAAATTCAATGAACTACACAAATTCAAAAAAAAATAGTTATTAAAAAAACATTAAATAAAAAATATTTTTCAAGAATATTCATCGAAGGGACGAATATATAAAAATATTCGAAACTTTTATGCGAAAAATGTTAAAACTCTAAGTGATTATTAAAAATATAATAATAATAATTTTTTTTTATATTAATACATCAAAGCATATATAAAATTTTGGATATTTTTCAACGAAAAATAATTTTTTTTTAATATTTCTATATGAAAAATCTGATTAAAATTTGAATTTCTAAAAATAATAATTGTTAAAAAACACATTAAATAAATAATATTTTTAAAATATATTCATCAAAGGGGCGAATATATAAAAATTATTTGAAATTTTTGTACGAAAAATCGAAAAATTTTAGCTTCTATGTGATTATAAGTAATATTAAAATAATTTTTTTTTAATATTCATCGAAAGGACGCATATATATAATATTCGATATTTTTAAACGAAAAATACTGAAAATCAATGTGGTTTAAAAACATTTTCATGGAATGGACGCATCCACAGCAATGGAGAGATAATTGCTTTCAAATAATTTAATAAAAAAAATATTAGTTCATATTATAAGTAAAATAAGTTTAATTTTCTTTCATATTCTTTAAAGAAACGTACGGAAAACTTACTTCAAAATAATTTTAGCTAAAAAAAAAATATAAAGTGGCAGCTATATCCTTCAGAGTATATCCTTCAAGCATACACACACAAGTACATATTTTCTACATTGTATACATAGTGCCACACCCCACACCACAAACTCACATGCAACCGCAACCACTTACCCCGTTTAAAGCCGCTGTTGCCAAAAGTATAAGCTGAACAGCTGTTCGACGTTGTAATCTGTACGCTAGAATCTTCAGATGATCGCCTCACGCGAATTTTGGTCGTTTGATGCTTGAATACTGAGGCTTTGTTGTTGTTGCTGTGAAAAATGTCAACGCTTCAGCCGAGATATGCATGCAATGGTGGAAGGCCAATTGAGATGCCGTCAAAGCGCAACAAATTTCTTGAAAAAAACTTTGAAATATTGCTAAATTAAGTTCGGAGCTTTTGTTTAATGACTCAAAACTTGAAGAATCGTGAAGATTGATTGAATGATTTTGACAACTCGGAAATGTGGCTGCTGCGACGCTGAATCGTAATGTTGCTTCAAACTAACGGTTGTTGTTGTTTGCTTGCTTTTTGTTTTGCACACACCTGCCTGACCGTAGTATGTCGTTCAGCCACCGGTTGAAGGATTTTGGAATTTTTGAAAGTTTTTGAATTTTTGCGCAAAATTAAAATCTTGCCGACAATAGCCTGCTATTGCTTATACGATTCACTTTGCTGCACCGGCTGCTGCGCTTGCTGCTGCTACTGCTGCTGTCGTTTCAGTAACCTTTGCTGGCTGTTGTTTACCGTTGTGCTTGTTTGTTTGTTTGTTGTTGTTGTTGTTCTACGAAACAAGGAGAAATCATATAGCGACGCAAATTATAAATTATATGAGTAGAATAATACAAAACGCGCTTAAAAAAGAGCCGCGTTTGCTTTTGGATACGTCGAAGACCGCACTCGTACTCGTACTGAAGGAGCTGTTTGTGCCAACGGCTAGCTGCCACAACATGTCATTTGTTGAGGAACCGAAAAATTCGCTGTCGTAGGCGAAGACGAAGGCTCAGCGACGAGCGACGAGCGCCAGAAAGCCCGACGAGCGCTGTAACGAATCGCAACGAATTGCAAAGTCAGCGGCAGCGTAGCGTTATGCAGTCGGCAGCAGCCGGTTTTTGTTGCAGCTGTCTTTTGCCAGGTTCCAGGCAACTGCTTTACGTGTTTGTGTGCTTGTGCAGCGCGCCGTAAAGTATGCAACATTGCTTGCTGCACAAAGCGGACTGCAAATGGTCGACGCCGCTAGAAATTAGGGGAAAGCACGCAAAAGCTCTGGAGCTTTTTCCTGCAGCCAGCAGCCAGCCAGCCAGCAGTCGACCAGGTAGCTTGTCGTCGCAACAATAGCAGCAGTACAGGAGCCAAATGCATTGTCGGGTCACTGGTGCAGCAGTCGGGACTGGCTCAGACCGGGAAAGCCGGCCGGGTTGCAAGTGGCAGCGCTGGGGCGATGGTGGCGGCAGTGTAGTGTGGCGGTAACCGCACAATATTTTCGTAAATAGAAAACAATAGTATGTATGCAGGCATATGTAGTTAAGAATATATAGCAACACGTGTACATATATACGAAATATATGATATAGATGTATATGTAGTTCGAAAAAACTTCAAGAAAGTTCAGTCGTAGTGAAATAAGTAGAACTATCGTTAAAAAATATATATATCTTCAAGTTTGCATATATATTTTATATTATTCTACTGTTTTCGACAAACAAGCATTGCATCAATAATAATTTTTCGATTGATTGCAGATTTGGAACAATAATTTTCAAAGAATCAGTTAAATATTTTGAAATCAAGCAATATTTTGAAAAACAAAATCTAATTTACAAACAATCATATTATCAATCATTTACATAATTATACAAAATAAAAAAAACTTCTTTGTTTGATTAAGTTTTGTTATAACAACTTGTGTGCTTTCATTAATAAGTAGATTATGGGCTTTCAATCATAACATCAATCATTTGTATAAAAACAAAAAAAAATCAAATAAATCGCTCAAATTGCGCTAATAGCTTAAGCTATGTCATGAGAACTTGTGTGCTATTATTATATTTATCATTGGCTTTTTAACAATAAATCAAGCATGACAACAATCAATACTTTTTAAGTTATTAAACAAATCTGATCAGTACTTCAGTAAACAAAATATCTATGCAGTTGCAATACGAGTTTTATATTCAGCAAAATATAATGTAATTGCGCTTCAATCATATAATCAATCATTGAAGTATGCTTTATCATACTTCAAATATTCAAGTATACTTTAAAGTTCGTAAATTATTTAACAAATGCACCTATCAATTTTTCTGTCTTAGGTTATATTGGTTTCAAATATGTGGTATGCTTACCCCAAGCCAGGTTTTGAGGTTTAATATTGATTGAACAGTAGTTTCGAGCAGGGCAGCAATCAACTTTGCATTCTCAAGCAATAAGCTCAATACTAAAAACCTAGCTGTGAATGATTTATAAATAAAACATAATGTTTATAGAAATAATTCAAGTTCAAGCATGGCTTCAAGCATTTTTTAACAATATTATAGTTCATGCAGAATGTTTTAGCGTTATTTGATACAGCTAAACCAGTCTCACAAACAGTAAAAACTAAAAATACATGTCTATAGAGCTTCAATCATAGCTTTAAACGTGGGCTGTCCATCAACAATCACTCTTTTTAATTAGTTTTGCGATTTTTAAGGCATATTGGCAAGTATTTAAAAATACGCATACTGCGTCAATCAATCAAATTGCTCAATCAGCTTATCAAATAAAATACAATCGATTGCCTTAATTATTATTTAAATCAGCTGTCAAGCAAAACGAATTCAATCATATTAAACGTTCGCATTGCCTGCATAAAATTATTTCGCATACTACAACCTACCAATCCGCACACTCTAAATAGTGCATATCCCTTAAAGGCACACCCCGTCAGTAGAACTCACCTACTTTTCTAGCCCATTATACACTTCAAGCTTTTGCAATAAATCACATTTTCAAATCAACTATACGACGACAAGCATTACCACATCAACTCGACTACATATCTAATTTAGCAACGCTCATTCCATAGTACGGTTTGCTCTCCTTTTCGCCTGCTTTCGGATCTCATCCTTTCCATTTAGCCTATTTACAAGTATGTTTCGAAGATTTTTCTTCATTTTATACGCTTATCTATAAATCCGAGAACTTTGGAAGGCCACGGTAAATATTGCTTAATATCTAAATCCTCTACATCATTAACAAAATCCACGCGTCGTCAGCGCCTTCGTAGAGGAGCGAGTTAAAGAGCGAGAGTTGGTGGACGCCGGATACGGAGCAATGCAGCAGCATCCCAATCGCATTATATAACGGTATATTTATATATATTTACAGCTAAGGGTATTAAGTAGAATCCTGTTCCATTTATTACGTGTACCTAGAAAACGTAATTTTATGTCGAGAGAAAAAAAAGTCCTGCAAAATGCAGCATGCACCTATATTATCGATTTTGCATTTGAAGAGCGTGCAGTATTGACAGAGAGAGAGAAAAAGAGTGAATAGAGAAGAGCGCAACTAAAATGATATAAAAAGTAACTGCATTGCTGGTGTGTGTATTGATAAGCTCAAAAACAGAGGTGAGAGCTTATTGGCTACACTTAGTAGTAACGTGCTTAAGGATGCCAGTGGTCGAAAAATATATAAATTGGGTACAAGAATTATAGAATACCTATTTTGATAGCAAAGAGGTCGTTTGTGCTTTAGATTTAGGTTATTGAATGTAGAAGACTGGCTCTCGTACTAGTTGATACCCACAACAAAGAGTCTATGACAGCTCGGATAGGCTATAAGCAAACCGTTTGGTCCAACTACCAGAGTTTTAAAATAAAAATAAATTTTGAATACTAGCAAACAAGCTTTACACTACGACTAAGTTGGAGAAATCATATGGCTCGGAGTAAACCTCGGTCTGAAACCCTTTGATGGCGTATGATTCTAACAAGGTCTTTCCAAGAGCAAGACTGATAGAGCCGCTGCCATTTAACGATGTAAAGACTCGTTTTTGAAAAATTTGAGGGATATCGAACTCATTATTTTGCAATTATTTTTCATATCTAAGTGTTTAAAGCTGAGCGATCCCAGGTTGAGGGAGCGCTGGAAGGAATTCGGTTACTTTTCGATTGGAAAAAAGAAATTTCGTCTAATTTATACCGAAGACCAAAAAACTTAACAACGATTTTAACGTTCTGATTTTGAGTATTGAAACAAATGTGTCAACAATTATGGTCAGACCTAGCCGCCGGTCAACAATATATTTGCATAACAAGAATAGCATGAACCATCCACTTTCGAAATCCAAATTTTCTGAATCTTCTCATAAGATTTTGCTCGTTTTTCTACCTTATTAGAGGACCAGACAAAGCCGAAGAAGTCTCAGTGAAGTCAAAGGCATTATGAAAAGATCTCCTTCTATACATTATTTGACTCTCTTTTAACTAAATATACGGATATTGAAGAGTTAAGTATCAATAACCTCAACAAGATTTTTTCGGGGAAAAATTTCCTTAAGAGGAAACCCCTAAATGCAGAAACTCTCACCCAGTTGGCAACTCTGTCTGTAGGTGACCCAGCAAGGAAGACTCCAGCACTCAGAGCAAAGGCGAGCGAAGTCGCATACGAGAGAGCAATAACAGCACGACAAGAGTGCACGCGCCAACGCCTACAACTACCGTTAAGCACACTTATACACGAACTCTACGCTATACAGCGCAGTTTGCAACAAAACAGCAGCAACAGCTATTTGCAGTAAATAATGTAGACATGGCATTTGCTATATGAGTGACCCCTCAAAACCCCTCTCACATTTCATAGTGCATACATAGTTGCCATGGCAGCAACAACAAATGAAAAGAGAGCTTGCGAAAATACCGCGTGTGAGAGCAAAGGCACGCACATACGTATAGCCGGCGAAAAAAATAACAAATACAACAACAACGACACACAGTAAAACCGTTAAGGCAAACGGAAATCTACGGGAAAAATATGGAGCAAATGCGTCGACAAGCAATTGGAAAGTGTACTCGTATATAATGAAGTTGAAAATGGGCGGTTTTCGGTTTGCAGCAAACACTTACACACACACACATACACTGTAATTGTTCAATGCGCTTACGGGCGATTCTGGGTTCGTTTTATAAAGGATAAGCCGCTTGAGCGCTTGCAATCCGTGTTTGTGCGTGTGGCTGTGTGCGGGGAGTCCACAAAATATGATTTAACTGTGCCAATTGCTAAATCGGCTAGAAATGTAAATCGCATGTGAAAATTTTTGAATTAAAGAAACAACACGCAGAGGATTAAAAATAAGAGATTTTCAGCAGCGAAATATATTTTGAGATCTTTAAGGGATTTCTATTGTATTTATAAAGTGAGTTGAGGATAAAATACAGCAAAGATCGCTTAGAGAAACGTCACGCAAAAGAAATCAAGCTTTGTGGCAGTGAGTTTTCACACAATCTCTTAGATCTAAACTCGCTTAAACTGCTAAAGAAACTTGAAAATCCATATAATAGGTTCTATGGCGTCGAAGAACAATCAAAGCTGAATTCACTGATAGAACACAGTTCTAAAGAACTTATATCGGCAGCTAGTATATATTGAAGTCCAACATGATCATTTCATTATTTGAGAACCTTTATGGGAAGAGAAATTATCTCGTACTTTGGAATAGAAATCGTTAGAATAGATACTTTGCTATAAAAAAGCACCATTGTTAAGACACTCAGTGAGCTTCTCTCAAGCCACACTACCCATACAGATTTCGAAAGAAATAACCCATTTAAAGACTTATAAATATTCTATCGGAATTAGTTCACTACATGCCAAACTTTTTGTTTGAGAAACCTCTTTGAATCCAATTTTAATTAACTGTGTGGTACACATCTATTTATTCCTGTAATGAAATAATTGAGTGATCTTTAAAATTCTTGAGGTTGTTTCCGTCGCTATTTCAGCTGTCCAAATGAGATACATCGATACCTTAGGCGCGAAGATCAAACTCCGACCTAACCAAACCTTCTTATCGATATTTCCTTTCAACATCTTTTTAGTCGAATCGTCAGAAGAAAAG